GTTTTGGACTCTGGTTCTGGTGGTTCTGTCTCATGTTCTGCTTCTCTGACCCACCTGTAAACCCTCACCTGTGTGGTCCAGGTGTGTACGCAGATAAAGTCGGAATAGAAGCTGCTGAGATGTTGCTGAGGAACATCAGACACAACGGCTGCGTGGACGAGTTCCTGCAGGACCAGGTGAGAGAGAGAGAGAGAGAGAGACACACACACACACACACACACACACACACACACACACACACACACCTGTCCACCTGATGACCTCATTGACTCCTCCTCCTCCTCAGCTCATCATCTTCATGGCGTTGGCAAAGGGGACGTCTCGGATTCGGACCGGCGCCGTCACGCTGCACACGCAGACGGCCATTCACATCGCAGAGCAGCTGACTCAGGTCAGAGATGATTAAAATATAAACTTAAAGATAAAATAAAAAATGTAACCGTAGACGAGGCTCTTGACCCAAACTGCTGCTTAGTGTCCAAACCTTGAGCAGCAGATTCACGCCTGCACCCCGCGTGATGTCATCACCCAAATCTTTGCTCACCCTTCATGTCCGCATGCTTTTTTAAAAATAATATGGCTAACATAAAAAAGCCCTGAATGAGTTGCATGTGCTGGCCTTCCTGGGGGGTCCACCCCCTGCAGGAGGGGCCGTACAGTCGGGTGCACGGCTGGAGGTGGGGGTCTTGGTGCTCTGGCAGATAAAAACGGGTCGGAGTAGTGTGTCTGCTCCAAGCTGAGTTTAGGTTTCTGGGAGACAAACTGGTGCGGTAATGAGGGCGTTGCTCCGGTCTGACAGAGCTGAGGCGATGCTCCAGATTTACTGGTCTGTTTTCAGTTCTGACCCTCGTCTAAGCTCATGAGATAAGGAGACCCAGAGCTCTCAGGAGGGTTTATAAGTCCTGTCTGGGACTCCTTGGGATCCACCAGGAGGAGCTGGAGAGGGTCTCTGAGGAGAACGTGGTCTGGATTTCTCTCCTGGACCTGTTCACTCCAACCTGACCATGAAAAGCAAAAAAGTTTATAATTTTTTTTAAAGAAAATGTGTCAATATTGAGCTTTATCAGTGCTGAGAGATTTAAAATGTTAAAAACTGCAGATTTTTATCATTGTGTGAATCTTTATCTTTAATCTGCTGCTGCACTTGAACTTCCTTCTGTTGTTGTGATCGCTTCACTCCGAGGGACTCCTTCATCCACACTTTATTTACAAAAGTTACATGAATTTATAGTCAGTAAAACATTTTCACTTGGGGTCAAAGGTCAGACACAGACAGATTCAACACTGATCCGATGACATCATTACTCTGTGGCGTCGTCAGGAACTAAATCTGACAAATCAACGCGTGATTTAATCTGAACAAGTTTTTAATCTGCGACCAAGTTTGTTCACGTCCGTTTGTTTGTTTGTTTGCAGGCGAAGTTCACGATAACAAAATGTGAGGACGAGCTGAGCAGCAACGTCACCTTCATCATCGAATGTCAGGGATCAGGGGTGGTTAACCCCAACCTGTAGCAGCATGCACGCGCACATGCACGCACACACTGCTGGACTCATAGCTGCTCCCGACCCTCTTAGTTTTTGTCTCTCAGGGTTTTTTCCTTTAAAAAAAGAAGCTGTAATAAGTAAATAAATAAAGCTCTTCATTTACTCTGATTTCTTACTTTTATTTTTATGCATTTAAAGGAGCATTTCACTTTATTTCTATATCTTTCACTTGAATGAAACTGGACACTCCTGACTTGAAATGATATATTTTTAACTGTTTAATGAAAAAAAAATACATTTTGTTTCAGGAAGTCAAAATGTTTAGTTTTAAAAAGAGAAGTTTTTAATATTTTATTTTTCTATCCAACAATTTTCAGTCAGGTCATCTGGACAGTTTATTTTTTTGCTGAAACGTTTCACCTTCCATCCAGAAGGCTTCATCAATCAAGGAAACACACAACACAACTGATTCTTCCCCCAACAGCTTACTCCAAAATGGAACAAACCAGTTCTGTTGGTGCTAAGATGGTGTCTTTGGCACGCCCCCTCCTCTGTTGCCGGCCCTCTTCCTCGTCGACAGTCGTGTCAAACTGGTTCAAAACCAAAACGGTCTTGTTTTTCTAGTTTAAAATAAATTTTGTGGCGTGGCTGGTTATGGGCCAGATTGCTTTTGTTTTGGTGTTGAATTCTGGGTAATGTAGTTCGGACACGAGGCTCCGGGATCAGTTGGTGGAAAAACAAAACGTGATCTGTTCTAGGTTCTGCCTGAAGGATCTGGACCAGGACTTTCTTGGGCCCCCGCCTTGTTTCCGTGGCGTCACTGTCTCGGTGTCATGTTCCGAGTCCTGACCTCTTCCACTCACCTGGCACAGGTGAGTCCACATACAGCTGGAGGTCCAGCTCAGGCCTGAATGTGTTGAAACCTGAGGATGCTGGAAACTCACACCTGCGTCCCCTCCGGGACCGGCAGAAACCCGATCCGGGTCACATGACGCCTCTTGGGCTCGATGTCCTCGCCAGTCCGCTCACCGTCCCGCAGCATGGTGGACACTGGGGCCTGGAGGACGCACCCGGACGACCCCTGGATGTCCCCGCCAGGACCGGGACCTGGACCAGCACCAAACCGTGTTTGGATCTCGCTGATCGCAGGTAAGTCTGACTTCGTCAGTCCGGATTTTGGGCCGACCCAAACGGGTCTGTGTGGACGTGAAACTAACCTGGTTCTGAGTCGGTCTTGAAACCGTCCAGTCTGGACCGAAGACTCCAACATCAGCATCTAATCCGACTCGTTGGCCCCAGACGTCTGGAGTTATTTCACCAGACTGAAGGTTTTCCTGTTCACGGACTCTGAAGACGTCTGTGATTCTGTCCTCAGCCATCCCTCTGAAGACGTCTTTGGTTCTGTCCTCGGCCGTCCCTCTAAAGACGTCTTTGGTTCTGTCCTCGGCCGTCCCAGGTGTCCATCACCTGAACAGACCATCGTTGGCGCAGTTCCTTCGATGTTAATCGTATAAAAATGACGGATCAACTGTTTCAGCACGAAAACTCTGAACTCTGTCAAAACAAAGTTTTATAAAGTTCACCGTCTTCAGACTCAGACGTTTCACACAATTAAATTAAAAACTTAAAATGTGAAGAAAGTGATGCAAGAGCTTTATTTAGATCGATTTATGACTAAACTCTTTGTTTCAACCAAAATTTGAACTTTTGGAGTTTAAAAGTTTAAAAAACTAACGAACGCAGTAAATTGTTTTAAATCGACACTGAAGAAAATAAAAATAAAAATGGACAAACGTCGTGCAGATGAATCTGGATTCAGTTGTAGGATCTTCGAGTTGATCCGGTTTTTATTTATCCAAAATTTATTTTTACTTGAATGTTTTTGTTTTGAGTTTGTTAAATAAAAACAAGAACTCAAAAATAAAGATTTAAGGTACGAGTTTGACCTGCAGGTGAAACGTTGAGCATCAGCAGAAAACTGATTTCTTTAAAATGTAGCTTGACCGCTCAATGACTGAAACTGAAGCAGTAAAACAAGAGCTAAAGTCAGCTGAATAGGAGCTTAAGTTAGCAAAGCGAGAGCTAATAGCTCACTTTAGAAAAAGGGCTAAAAGCTGAAATCAGCAACACAAGTTAAATGTTAAAATAAGCAGAACGTAACATTAAAAATTTGCTTCAGTTGCTAAAAACAGCTGAACAATATCTAAAAGCTATATTTAAAGCAAAAAAAAAAATTCTAATATAGCAGAACATTAAAAACTTAAATTAGCTAACTTAAATTAGCAAAACATCAGCTTAAAGCCAAAACTCTAAAATTGAAATAAGAATTGAAATAATTAGAACAAGCTAAAATTTGCCAAGCAGTAGCTAAATGCTAAATCCAGCAACACTGTAACTAAAAGGTAAAAGCAACTCTGTAGCTAAAAACTAGTTTATTGTTAAAATAAGAATATAGATTAAAAATTTAATGTGCATAACAGTACGGTAATTAAAAGCTATAATTAGCTGTAGCTAAAAGCTAAATGTTGTAACACAAAGGTAAATGTTAAATTAACTAGAAGCTGAAATTAGCAACATAGTAGCTAAAAGCTAAATTCAGCAGCACAAAGGAAAACTGTTAAAATAACTAGAAGCTATAATTAGCTACATAGTAGCTAAAGGTAATCAGCAACAAGGTAAATGTTACAATAAGCAGAATGTAGCAAAAAATCCAGGTCAGCTTTGTAAATAAGTACTGTTCTCAGTCATTTTACCTGGCTGGTCAAATAAATAAATTAATTTAAATAAGTATAAGTGTAACTAGAAGCTATAATCAGAACAACAGTAGCTGAAAGCTAAACTTAAGCAAATTTGCTGAAGTAGCTTTAAAAAGCGCACATTTTACAGGAATTTGAAAAGGTCTCAATGCATTTCTGTGAGGAAAAAACATAAACGATGGTAAATAGTTCTAAAAGTGTAAAAGTTTCCAAACCCCTCACACAACAGCTGCACTGTCCTGAACGAACCGGACGTTTTGAAGCAGAACTTTAGTCCAAAGAAGAAACAGGAACGTTGAGACGCTGTAGGACGTTTGAACTTCAAAGGTTGAAACGACACACGAGTCATTTAATGCGGATGAAAATGTCAATTTGGTTACAATTCTTCACAATATATTTGTAAAACCTTTCGTAAATGTTGTTTAGGAGAGACATAAAATAAAAATAAAAAAAAACCTAACGGTTTCATGTAAAACCCTACCAGTTATATAGGATTTACTTTATTCCGTGTTTTTTAACGAACCATGAAGGCAGCACGTTGCTGATTGGTTGCGGTTGCCACGAGCGGCAGAGGCTCCCGTTGCCACGGTAACGCCTCCTTAAAGGAGGGATTTAATCAATCGGAGTTTCATGCGCTCGAAGCGTCGGAAAGCTCTCGAGGCGGTTAGTAAGAGCTAACATGTAAACCCGGAACTTTAAACCGGTGGAAACGGTGGAGTTAGAGTCCGCTATGAGTGACGAGACGCCGCAGGGACGGATGGGACACCAAGAAGAAAGTTTTGAAAACTATTTTTTAAGAAATAAAACTCAGCCCGGGTGGATGCTAACGAGCTGCTAGCAGAAAGTTTCTGGAGCTCAGGGTGGGAGGCGTCGCGCCGCAGGAATTAGACGGAGCCGCGTGAGCGGAGGGTGTGACGCACTCCCTGGTCCAGTCTGCCCAGTTCGGGATGGCAGAGGACAGCGATATGAAGGGAACAGCAGAGTTTATCAAAGGTAACTTATTTAAAACTATTTAACACGGCAGATTAAAAAACAACAACGTTGATTATAAAGATACAAGTAGTCAAGACGTGCAGAAAAAACTAACTTTAAAACTAATTTTGTCTACAGATTTTCCACTTTTAATTAGCAAACAATCAAAACTATCACCAAATAAACACCTTAAATAACGTGACATTTAGATACAGATGTACTTGTTAAGTGGAGCAATCAGTTTTAAACAATGTTTCTATGTAATCTGTAAACAAATAAAAACAAAACAATTCCTTGGTAATAAACATTAATGAGTTCTTAGATTATTTTATGTTCACATGTTGACATTATTAATTTCTTTGTATTTCTGTGAAACAACTATAAATAGTGCGACTTGAATGTTGTGAGCTGTTGTATGAGATTAGTTTAGATTTAAAAACAGATTTAATTATTTCCTCCATCCTGCAGCTCAGCCGGTTCTCACCAGTTTGATTGTCCTTGTTTAAAACATCTGGATTATTATATTTATTTATTCATCTTATAATGATGAAGTTTATCAAACGTAAAGTAAATTTTTCATTTTAAAAGTAAACGGGTGTTACAGGCTAATGACAACTTAAAAACAACTTGTATGGCTTAAACCTCATTTTATAAACAGGCTTTTATTACAATTTATATATTAAAATAAAAGATCAGTACTTTTGATTATTGCTTTTTTTTTTTGTACCATACAGAGTATTCAGTTTTTCTTTTAGTTTCCGTTGTTTTTAACCAAATGTTTTCAGAGGAAAGTTTTGAACTTTGACCTCTGAATCATTCAGGCGTCAAAAGGAAAACTCAAGGGATGAGCCAGAGTTGTGACTGAGCCTAACAAAACACAGTCTGAATCTATGCAGATGTAAATGTTGTTTTTTAATCCATCTGAGCCTTTGCCTCATTTTAACATCTGATAAAGATGAATTTCTTATTTTTGTAGAGCTTGTTTAACACCTGATTCACAGAAAGTCTATGAAACTGATGCTCAAGGCGTGTAACGATGTTTTCACAGGTTTAATAGTTTCTCACCGCCCGTCGCATCAGCTGGATTGATCAGATCAGTTGTTTTGTTAATTGTGCTTATTTTAAAGAAACTGGAGGCTGGAGTTAGTTTTAATTTCTTGTTTTTATTCCATACAAACACAAACGGCAGGTAAAAAGCTCTCAACAGTTTTAGTCGCATTTTTTTATCTAGGATTAAAAACATTTGTAAACTCTACCGGGTTTTATCTGCAGCGAGACAAATTGTTTCAGGCTTGTGCATCTTCACAGTAATTTTATTGAGGGAATAAGTAAATCCAGACGGATGTGGTCGTTTTATTGAGTTGACCTTTGTAAAACAAAATAAAGTGCAGGAAGGAAACTCAGTCGGGAGTTTGTAAAACTAATACTTGGTTTAAAGCTGAAGGATTTTGTCCTCGCCTGCAATGAAAGTGATAAAAATATGACTTGCTGCCACTACTTTCTGTTTATCTCCACGTCATCCGTCAAACCCATTTTCTTTCTCCCGCAGACCGTCTCTACTTTGCCACGTTACGCAGCAAACCCAAAAGCACGGCCAACACGCACTACTTCTGCACCGACGACGAGTTCGTCTACGAGAAGTAAGTCTTCCACACCTGCTGGTTACCTGCCGCACTGCATTCTGGGTGACGAAACCCAACAGCTCCATGTTTACATTTAGAAAAACTGCATGTTTGAGCTTTAAGGTGACGCACGGGTTGGACCGATAAAGGATCAAGTCTGAATATTTATTTACCTTCCAGTCTGATTCCACATTGTTTACATTGTGTGCAGACCCGTATTTCAGAGATAAACATCAACAATCTGGAAAACTGAAGTAAACGGCTTCAAACTGCACCATCTGCTGTAGTTCATATTTATCATGGCACACCTTTTAATCTGCTGAAGCACTCTTTAGGCAGATTAGCACCAATTCTTCACTGGATTATTACAGATTATAAGCTGTTTTCAGACGTGGACATTTGGATGTTGTCTCTAATGCTCCTCGGACGGGTTTGAGGCACTTGGAACGACTCTGTGATCACCTTTTGATCAGCAGTTCCTTTTTTTAGCGTGTTCGGAACGTGACGGTCGTTCGCCAGCTTGTGTCGGCCGCACCCTAAAGACACGCACGTCCGATCGTAGATATTTAAAAACTGTTAAATATCAGCTGATGAAATCCATCTACCTCTAGTTTCTGATTTACTTTTGTTAATTAATTGTAGTGTCTTCAAAAGTCATAAATTAAATAAACTGTCCTAAATTTGTTCAGAATTTCTGTTTTAAGTCCAAATGTAAGTTTAGTTTGACTCTTAAGTCTTTAAAGGTTTAAAAGTGTTAAATTTAACTGACTGACACTTGCAGAAGCCGCTCAGTGTGATTACTAGTTCTCGTCTGAATTTTTCTATTTTCTTTATTTATATTTCTATTTTTCTATGATGGGTCTTTTTGATGATTTAGGGTTTGAGTCCTGCTGTGATTGCTCACAAGAAGAGAAATTCTCCGAGATGCTGTGAAGTCGTGTCGGGAGATGAAAGTGATATTTATTCAGCGTTTTGTGAACGTTCAGACCAGAGAGTCGTCTTGTTTTTACCGTTCGGTCTGAACAAAATGAAAGTTTTAGTTAAGGAGGAAATACTTGAGGACTTTCAGACGAGGCTTTCACTTTCTGCAGCTCAGCGCCGCGCTCCCCTGCAGCGGGACGTGGTGGTGGGCGGCCCGAGGAGCTCCCAGCGCTCTGACCTGTCCTCTGTTCTCCACAGCTTCTACGCAGACTTCGGACCTCTGAACCTGGCCATGCTGTATCGATACTGCTGCAAGCTGAACAAGAAGCTAAAGGTGAGTTTCTGCTGCTGCTGACTCTCCCTCTGCAGGAATGTCCAGAATGTGGAGCGGGACAGATGTTGCGTGACGCAACCTCCCATTCACAGAAACACAGAGCAGCAGGTTCACTCTCTCTGTCCTGATGGTTCTGCTCCTCCGGACCTTTAAACTGTTGTTTGATGTTTGCTTGGTCGTTGCCATGGAGCCTGGTTTCCTCCGATCCACTGTCATACCAACCAGCCGGTCCACATACACATGTTGAGCTTCAGTCTGACGTAGGGCTGGGCGACATGGACCTAAATTAATATCACGATATTTTAAGATGAACAGCGATATACGATATATGTCTCAATATTTTTCATTCCATAAAGTTCATTCTCTGTCACCTTCAAGAAAGACGGTCACTCTTACTCCCTCTCCTCTTTTTTATTTTGCTCTCATCCTGTCAACCTCAGAGCTTCTCTTTACACATCTTCCAAATTTAAATTTATTATGGATTTGGTCGGCTGGTCCTTCAACGCAACTGATAAAAATTTTCCACCTGGTAACGGAGCTGGAGAGCCCTCGTGCACTGAACGGGCCCTCTCAGCTGGGTATGTCATGTAAACCTGGGGTGAGTGGAAGATGATGTGCCTATTTGTTGTGTCAGTGGAGGACGTAGAAGATGTGCACATGATTGGATTTATCATAACAGGGTTTCTGCTTTTTGGAATCGGTGGATACCTTGGATTTCAACAAATTAGGAAGACGTCGGTAGCGGCTTCGACCTGGTAAAGCTGCCAGCCTTATGTGAAGGATTCATTCTTGCCTCGAGTTCTCAGACTCACGTGCTTACTGAGCTCAACTGGAAGCTGGAAGCGATTCTGAGAATCATGGGCCACTTGCGGCTCCTTGAAGTTTTCAATCTTGGAGAAAACGAATCGAGCACGGACCGGGTGGAATATCCACTAATCTGTCTGTTTGGAGTCTCCATTGAGTGCACCAGCAGAACTTGAAGGCAGACAGAGAACAGAGTCTGGCGGCCCAAACAGTTGTTTATCTGAATTTGGCCTCCCCGCTGGCCTTGGACAGGCCAACTTGTCTCAATTTTCTCCTGGAGGATACGCAACTAGAATCTCTGCCCCCCCTTCCCGAGGACATTTGTGGCCTTATCAGAACCATGACGCTGATGGACGCTGTACCATCTTATCAGAACTTTCTGGAGTGTTTATGGAAAACTCACCGCCTTTGCAGACCTCTATGCATAAATGCGTTATGATGTCATTGTATGTTGCTGTTTTTATGTTGCGAGGACTTTTTTTGTGCATCTTTTACACAGTTTCCTGGCTGGGAAATTGTGTGAGACTTGAAGTTCTTTTGGCTTCCTCCATCCTTGTTCTCTTCTTCTCATCTGTCTGTATGTTGTATGTAACGGGTCTCTCTTGTAAATGAGTCTACGAGGCCATCATCAGGCCCAGACTCTGGTCTACACTCATCTCCAGGCCAGAGGTCGCTCTTTCAGGGATGAAGATGAATCATCCTTGATGGAGAGGAACGTTGGTTTGAGAGAGGAGTGAAGGAGGCCATCTTTGTGGAGAGCAATCATCCATAATTAAATGGGGCGGAGCCTCCGTGTCCAACTGTCCCCCTCCTACAATGCTGTTATTGCTAGTATCACTCACCCTGTGAATAGCAAGCGGCCATCAGGGCACCAACTATCGGTCGTTAGGATGATGGTCCTTCTTGATCATGTGAGCAGCTGGTTCTGGACGTCAACAACAAACTGGTTGATCCACTTTGAGAAGGTGATGTTTATAAGACTGAGTTTGTTGCAGCTCCTCAGACTGAAGAAGTCTTTTGGACAAAAGACGAAACATTTCAACAAAGAAGAATCATTCAGAGGACCTGACTCAACCTTGTTGGTATACGAGGATCTAATGTATAATAATAATATTAATAAACGGTAACCTGAGCATGAGTCAGCTGTGAGCAGATGGATGTAAATGTATATATTTGCTCTGAAGCTTGACAGTCAGACACTGAGCTCTGGTTTTATTATGAACGTGGCTCACACGGAGCGACACCCGGGTTGTTTGGGTCAGCAGAGTCTAATGAGAACAGCTGAAGGTTTAACGGGTCTCTGTGAGAATCTGCAGCCGGATGTTTCCTCTGACGAGCAGCTTTTACTTCAGCTTCTGTTTTTGTTTCAGGCAGAACCCGACGGTCTTTTAGTCAAAACCAAGACGGGCCTTACTCAGTTTCAGGCGATTTCATCTCGCCGAGACAGAAAACTGAGAAGACTAAACATGGCTGATATAAAAACAACTGTGTTTCTTGTGCGCAGTCGTTCACGCTAACCAGGAAGAGGATCGTCCACTACACCAGCTTCGACCAGAGGAAGAGGTCCAACGCTGCGGTTCTGATCGGAGGCTACGCCGTGAGTCTCCCATTTTAATCCGTTTATTATCAGTAGTTTTATTCCACTCAGAAATCATAGATGCTGCACCTTTTACAGAGTTTCTGTAATTTATCTACAAAAAGACGATTGTTTTACAAAGCTTTTATTTTTCAACAATTATCAAAAGGCTTCAGATAAAAAAATGTTTTTGATGCTTAACTTTTTGAGTGTGGACAAAACTCACATTTTCTGTTTTTGGTGACAACTTTACAAGTTTTAAGTAGAATTAACTGAGAATTATAGAAGATTTAGGTTGATATTCCAAAATATTCATCCATTCATTCATTCATTCATTCATCCATTCATTCATTCATTCATCCATTCATTCATTCATTCATTCATCCATTCATCCATTCATCCATTCATTCATCCATCCATCATCCATTCATCCATCCATCATCCATTCATTCATCCATCCATCCATCCATCATCCATTCATCCATTCATTCATTCATTCATTCATTCATTCATCCATTCATCCATCCATCCATTCATCCATCCATCCGTTCTGAAGTCAGGTCTCGGGGCAGCATCTTGATCAGGGAGGTCCAGACATTCCACAACCTCTTCCAGTTCTTCTGGGAGGACTCTAAGGTGTTCCCATCAACCGAGAGACGTAGTCGCCAGAGTGTCCTGGGTCTTACCCGGGTCTCCTCCCAGTCAGACATGCCCAAAGCACCTCCCTAGGGAGGTGCCCAGGGAGCATCCTTACCAGATGAACCACCTAAATCAACTGACTCCTCTGGATGTAGAGGAGCAGCGGTTCTACTCTGAGTCTCTCTTGATAATTCTGTCTCTAAAGGAGAGTCCAGCTCCTGCAGAGGAAACTCATTTCAACCTCCTGGATCCACGATCTCATTCTTTCAGTCTCTACCAGAGTTCATGACCAGAGGTGAGGGGAGGAACATGGACTGACCAGTAAACTGAGATCTTTGTCTTACAGCTCAGCTCTCTTTTCACCACAACGGACCGGCACAGAGTCCATAATACTGCAGATACTGCACCAATCCGTCTGTCAATCTCACGCTCCATTCTTCCCTCACTGTTGAACAAAACCCTGAGATACTTGAACTCCTCCACTTGAGGCAGAACCTCACCCTCGACCTGAAGAGAACAATCCACCCTTTTCCGACTGAGGACCATGGCCTCAGATCTGGAGGAGCTGATCCTCCTCCCAGCTGCTTCACACTCGGCTGCGAACCGCTCCAGTGAGAGCTGAAGATCGCAGCACGATGACGCCAACAGGACCACATCATCTGCAAAGAGCAGAGATGAGTCCTGAGACCACTGAACTGGACTCCCCACACCCCCTGGCTGCACCGAATCTGTGACAACGGGCAGCCCTGGTGGAGTCCAGCTCCCACCCTGAAGGGTCCGACTTCCTGCCGGCAACGAGAACCAAAGTCTCGCACCGTTTGTACAGGGCCAATAACAACGGGCCCCCAATCCTGTACTCACGGAGCCCCCCCCCACAGTGTACCCCGAGGAACACTGGGATTGGTGTTGTCTTTTTGTCAGTGTTGCTGAAACTCGACAACAGAAGTGGAGATTTAAGTTCCCGTGGTCCAAAAATCCTCATTATTTGTCCAAAAATAAAGTTGTTGTTGATGTGGTCTGTTAAAACCGGACCTGTGAGGCCATCAGACACCCCCCCCCCCCCCCGCTGCATCCGTGCTGAATATTTGATGTCGCTGAAGCCACAGAAACAACAGTGGGTTGTTTGCAGGGAGGAGCAGCAGGCTCCGGTACAACCGGACCTCTTCACACACCCAGGACTCGCAACAACCAACGTTTTTCAGTTTAAAATAAATTCATCTCAAAATGTTGAACGCGCTCCGGTTTTAGATGCAAAGCTGGTAAAGATTTTAATAATGGCAGCAAATTTGTTTATTTCAGGTGATCTACCTGAAGAAAACTCCAGAAGAAGCTTACAGAGCTCTGATCTCTGGGTCCAACGCCTCCTACCTGCCATTCAGGTAAGCTATTTATTTATTTATTTGTCTTCCTACAGGAATATGTCAAAAACAGATGCAAGGCATCAAACATGTCTATTTTTTAACTTTATTTGTCTCCTCTGCGGTTGAATTTACATATTTTCCCATTTCGAAGGTCTATTTAACATTTTAAACAAACGTTAACAAGATTTAATGATATTTTCTGTAAAGATATTTACATTTTTAAGTTTTATCAGCCAGAAGAACAGACCGGTTATATCAGGCTCCCAACGTATCAGAGGTTTTTAAGGCTCTATTATAATTTAAATCCTACTTTTTTTTTAATTTGCAAACCGATAGTTTATTTATAAAGCACATTTAGAAACAACATGTTGTAACCAAAGTGCTGTGCAATAATTATATAAAAAGATAAACAAAAAAGTACAAATAAAATTAAAATATCATAAAAAGAAAAATGGTTAAATATCCGTCAGAACAAATGAGTTTTTAAAAACAGGAAGTTAACAGGCCTGGAAATATCGGATGGTAAATTGTTCCTGAATAATCCTAATCTCCTCTGAGCTTCAGCCGAGTTTTCTGGACGACAGAAGCAGCTGGTCAGAATATTTCAGGCCCGCCAAGGAACATAAAGTTAAAGCTAGTCGGGGAGACGGTACAGAGCAACGCCGTGTACACGTTCGTACGTCAACATGAGGATTAAAATCAGTTCTGTGGCGCGCAGGGAGTCTCGGGTGCTCAGACCTGGTCTTCAGGTAAGACGAGCAAAAAGATGGAGGCAGGAAGTGACGGCCTGACTGACCCTGACACGTCAGGTTGTGATAAAGGCGTGGATTATTCTCCAGGTTAGTCCAAACAGGCTCAGGTCTCGTGTCTGAACCAAGAGAAACTGGAGGTCTTGCTCCTGAGTGATGGTAGGATGGAGCGAGAGATGGATCCACAGGTCGGAGCCTCGTCCTCAACGATGAGGGCGTTGCTTTGGTCAATCGTGGTGAAGAAAGTCGAGTCGAAATGCAAAGCTCTGGATTTACTGGTCTGTGGTCCAACTCTTCTGGTCGTGAGGTTTGGATCATGACGGTAAGAATCAGATCCTGGAATCAAGCTGGAAGTGATCTTCCTTTTGTAGGGTGGGGGGCTCAGCCGTAGAGAGAGGGTGGGGGGCTCAGTCGTAGAGAGAGGGTGGGGGGGGGGCTCAGCCGTAGAGGGGGGGGGGGGGGGCTCAACCGTAGAGGGGGGGGGGGGGGGCTCAGTCATGCAGGAGGAGCTCAGAGTAGAGCTGCTGCTCCTCCACATCGGAGCCAGTTGAGGAGGTTCCTCGGATCAGGGCACCTCCTGGACGCCAGGGCAGACCCAGAACTTTCTGGAGGGATCATGTCTCCTCCCTGGTCTGGAGAACACCTGGGGTCCTCCAGGAGGAGCTGGAGATGTCTCTGGAGAGAAGGAGGTCTGGATTTCTGTCCTGGATCTGCTGCCTCCACCACAAGAATAAAAAATGGAGGTTCTCTTAACATCTTGCAGCTTTAGACGTTGGTTTGAATTCATTTGATTTCTTGTAAAACCCTCCTCAAGCCAGAGGAGCATAAACGCTCTGAAGCTTTTAGATTTAAGCTCTGAAGTTTCGTTTGGGTTTTGTTTCAGGGCCAGCAGAGATTTTCTAGCTCTGGTCCTGCAGAGCTCCAACAGAATGCTCTTTGGTTTTTGGCTTTGGCTTCAGTTCGTTCCTGCTGCTCCACTTTATTTTATTCTAATCGCTGCAGCTCCTGTTGTCCTCACGTCTTACTGCCCAAGTTTGAACGTTTTTTATAAACTTTTTTTAGTTTCTAACAACTTCATCAGCAAACGATACAACCCCCCCGGTGGAATTTAAACCTAAAACGACCCTGAATGCAACACAGGAAACTCCCTGTGAAGAACGTTTTGGCTACAAGTCTCACCCTGAAGGTTCCCGGGGCCAGAACTGTTTTCAAAATATTTCTGAAACTCTAAAATCTTTGGTTCCCGCGGGAAGAAACGAAGGACGGACACAACTACAGCTGTAAAACACACACACTCTTTGAGCTATGGGTGAGCTTTTGTTAATAATAATAATAATAATATTTATGATTAATAATAATAACGATGAGTAATAATAATAATAATAATAACTAAGCTGCAGAGGTAAAAATCAGCAAATAACTGAAGAAAACCTCCATATTTCAGCTGTGATTATGGAGAAAGTTGCACGTGGAGCTGCTGGACCTTCTAAAAGCCACAGAAACTTTAACTGTGTCTGTTTCCTGTGGGAGGAAGTGATGATGATGATGATGATGATGTGCAGAGACGGCCCGGCCCGGTTTGACTGCCAATAAGAAACTCCTTTTACTCTCCGGGTCTCACAGTCGAGAGTTTATTTTATTCAAATCGGGTCTAAAATAATTGGAGTTCTGCCTGTTGGGTACAGGAGGAATGAAGTTTGTGCCGCTGGTTTTGCTGTCGCACACACGGAGGTGTGCATGCGCGCGTGCATGTGCGCATGCATGTGTTGCTGGATAACTTTGTTCCTCTGTCAGCATCATGAGGACCTCTGAGCTCTCTTCAGATCTGACTGATTAAACGTTGCATACAGGCCACGCCCACTGAGGCGTTCACTGACCACGGGTAAAATTAACGCTTCAAAAGCCTCAAGTGTTTAAATTCTCAGAGCCAGAAATGTTTCATGAGTTGGAACAAGACGTTTGTTCTTGAAGGATTTGACCTTTTCTTTTTTTTTTCCTCCCAAATTAAAACTCAATCCTGATTAAATTCCTCATTTACAATTTCAACATCTGGAATAATTTGGAAACATTTAATGTAAAAGCTTAGATTAGAACATTTTAGTTATGGTTTTAGACTTAATTAACTTTAAAATATCACTACACAGCCGAACCCAGCAGTTTAAACAAAAATAAAATTCAAGGTTCAACAACATTTATTGTCTGGACGGTTTGTTTTGAGACGTTTCATCCTTCATCCAAAGGACTTCTTCAGTCTGAGGTTTTTTTCCACTGAGTTTGTTGTTTTTGATTGAAGAAGTCCTTTGGATGAAGGACGAAACGTCTCGTCTAAAAGAGAAACCGTCCAGATGACCTGACTGAACATTGTTGGATTTTATACCGGGATTATTGAGCATGAACCTTAAATATTTATTGTCATTCTTAAAAATTAGAGACTAAACTCAGTTTTATTGGCCAGAGCGAGTACAAATAATAACAATAAAAATAGTATGAATACTGTAAAGAACAATTTATAATGTGCAGTGGTGGTAGTAAAAAAAAAAAAAGAAGCAGATTGTAAGTTTGATTTAATTAAAAATATATATTTTTCAGTTTTGCTTTTGTTGGATTTTTTACTGTAAATATTGTTAACAGTTTCATGAGAGTAGTATCCGTTACGACGTGATAATTTACTGTTCGTAGTCTTACAACGGGTCAGATCTTGGAGCACAGTTCTTGTCTGCACCTCCTGCTGTTCAGAGGAGAATGTTGTATTTTTAGAAAGATGACCAAGATTTTTCAGACTCGTTGGCACTTTGGTGTTAGTGTTGTGGTGCCGGTCTCACTGTTGTCGGTTTCAGCTAACATTCGCAGTGAAGGGCTTCTGGTTTTCTCTGGTGGTTCTCCTGTGATTTGGACTCCGTCCCTTCAGTCCAGTTTCCGTCAAACATTCAGCCTCCCCCTCTCGGTCGTGCTGGAGGCATGTTTGAGCTCAGTGAGAGTCTGACGCTTGTGTGATAACGAAGCAGAAAATTTCTCGCTGCAAGGAGTCGAAACTCTCACCGACCAGAAAAACCAAACCAACCTGCTGCTCCCGGCAGCGTCGCCTCGACACCAGACCAGTCTGTCCCACTTTGACCTGAAAGGACTCGGGTCTTTGAGGATCTTGGTTTTATTTATTCAATAATAAATCGTTTAGCGTCAGATTTCACCTGTTACCATCGTTTGAGTACGTTTATTTATTAAACTGTCCGGTGTTTTTCTTTTGAAAAACAAAATCCTTGACTTGACAGACCTCTTGTTTGTGAACGACACCAGGTTTCTAAGACCCCGTCCACACAGGAACGCTGTCTTTTCATAAATTTAAACAGTTTCTACAAATGTTTTCATCCACACAGAAATACAGGAACCGACCCAGACTCTGCAGTGACGCTGTTTCCGTGTAAAAAAACCTTTGTGTATCCGCAAAAACGCAGTTTTCCATGTGGACAGGGTCCTTGTAAGTCCTCGTTTTAACTTCACGGTTACAGGCCTGTTAAGGTCACACGAGTGCCTGACCCACCGCCCTGTGAGTCGGTCGGGTCGTTGACACCTGTTGAACCCTTCCTAACGAGGCCAGCGTGCTTCAAGGTAAGAACTGAAACTGCCTGGAGACGCGAGTCAAGGCTGAGCAGAAAGATGGAACCAGAGACTCTGTTCACCTGAAAGATCTCTGCAGACGTTGGTGTTTTTACGATCCTGGTTGTGACAACTTTACGTGTTTACTTAGTAAAGCTGAGCTCCTGAATCTGCTGTAGTTTTCGTACCAGGTCACCGTCTGGGCTGTGATTTTTATATGTCCCCGACATGTTCATGTGTGCATGCACTTCAGCCTTGAGCGTCAAAACACTTGCATCCAAAACGGTGAAGACGGGAGCGTCGGTTTGGACCGAGGATGAAGTTTGGACGGTTCTACACATTGGAAAAAGTGATCAGCACAAACAGCACTCTCCTCGTTCTTCTACTCGAGGAGTAAAATTATTAACTGCAGACATTCGTAGTGCATGTTCTCAGTTTCACACTGATGCCGGGCGTTTCCAGAAAACCTCTGCTCTGAGAGCCGCGTTCACAACGCTGCAGTTTCCGAGGAAAAGGACTTGAACGCAACAACGTTGTGTAAACGGGAACCAAGGCCGCCTCCTCGGTTTAATGTTGGTCTTTCACCGAAAAGACCTGAAACAAGCGCCGTCCAGTTCGGTTCACGTCTTTCACCTCATGACTCGATATTAATTTTATCATTTTCACTTTAAGCAAAGTGTCTTTTAAGAAAAGTAAGATGGTAAAATTAGAAAATCTGTCGTATTTAAATATTAAAATCTGCAAAGAGATGTAACCAACAGATTTCACATGAACGTGCACACTTTCCAAAACACCTTTTTTAAATGGATGAAAATCATCACACTGTATATTTGTTGTTACTGTGGCCTTTGTTTAAATCAGTCGCTTCTGTCTCTGGATTTATTGTAAATGTCATTTTCTTTTTAAATTATTTAAATAAATTGGTAAAATCTGAGGCCTGAGTTTGTGGAGTCAACATTAGGAGGTAAAACAGGAGCTGCTGTTAAAGTTCGACTAATGTTCCTTCAGATGATCAACCTGCTTTGTTTCCTCTCCGCAGAGACGCTGCCTTCGGGAATTGCACCTACAACCTGACAGTGCTGGACTGTCTGCAGGGAATCAGGAAGGTAAGATCATCCGCTGCTTTCAACACAAACCTCCTGAGAGAAACGTTGAGCATTTTAAGAGAAAACGTCAACATTTTAATTTAGTTTTAGTTTTATTCTAACGGCTAATACTGGTAATAACAATAAAGTGATCATTTTCAGTCAAAATATTTTAGCGGACTTCATGAAAACAAGCAAACAAGAGTAAATAAAATCCAGTTTTATGTGGTTCAGCTTATTTAAATTGATCAATTAATCACATAAACTTTAATTAAAATTAGGGATGCATGATATTGGATTTTTGGCCGATATGTTAAAACTTATTCGATACTGATATTTTATATACGTTCCTGTGTCAGAACATAGCCCTCTTATGTTACAAAAACTGCACCAGCTGTAAGAGCTGGGGACATATATTCAGTAACAGTCGTATGTATAGCACTTTAACTTATATTAAATGAACAGTGTTAAATGTTATTTATTAGCATTAGTCACCTGCGATGCTGTCTCACCTGTGGAGGTTTGTTCCAGGTTCCTATAGCTGCAGTGTGGGATCCTCTGCACTCCTGTGCATGAAGGACAGACTTTTAAATTCAAAGTTTTTATCTATTCATTGATCCGTAAGACTAATCATGCTAACGGGGCTAACACGACGTCCAGATGTTTGTGGTAAAACTCACCCAACAAGTCGTGCTATCGGCTGTTAGCTTCTCAACGACATCGGAAATGACGGCTGGTAACTCGAGTAACGTTACGTCGGAAAAACATCTCAGACTGCGGACGATGTAGCGAGGCTCAACGTACTCCATAAATCTTGGGACTCTGACATCCTCACCAACGAAAAATAAAACTTCCTCACCGCCGACATTTTGAATTTTCCTCTCCGACGTGGGATCATGTAGGCGCACGTGACGTCATCGCGTTGTGCTGCCGCTGCAGGTACAAGCAGCACCTTTTTATATCGGCGAGTGATTTTAATGGAATGTCCGATACTGAATTTTAACGCTGATATCGGCCGATACGATACCATGCCGATAATATCGTGCATCCCTAATTAAAATATAACCAAAGTGGTGTACAAAAGTCAACATATAAATCAATGCACATGAACCCAAATACAACAAAATTCACTGAAATAACGTTTTAAACCTCCACAGTGTTGTTGTTTTATAATTATAAAATGTCCGTTTTAAAATAGTTTATCTTCTAAGGAAATGAGCGTTTCATTAATATCATCCCATAAACTTAGCTCATTCAATCAAGTTCATTGATTTAAAGACCTGATAAATGTTTAATTTTATGGTTTCCATAATTTATTAAATTCATCAAACTAATTCAAACTTGACATATTTTTTCTGTCATGTTTATTGTGGTGGTGCAGAAAAACGGTTGTGAGAAAAAATAACGAGGAAATCTTGTTTAACTTCCTCGTGAGTGGAGCTTCTTTCCGGGTGCCGTTGGGTCCAGAAGGAGCAGGCGGTCCACCGAGAGTCTCCGGTTCTTTCTGCAGATTAGCGTTGCATAACGGCACAGAGCGTGGAGCCGTTGTCCTGCCGGAGATGGACAGCAGCCAATCAGAGCGCTCTGCTAATCTGTCAGGAGTGTTAACTAACGAGCGTTTGTGACGGACCGCAGCACTTTGTCTCTGAAGGATTCGATCATCTCTAATTACTGAAGGAAACCTGGGAAGTACCGGTGTCTGGGTGCTGCTGTGTACTCAGTATTTACTCTTTTACTTGTGTATTGCCGAAAAATACCACCGGTTTACTCATTGGCCAATAATTCTTTGCTTCCCTTGAATTTACAGCCTTAATTGTGAAAAGGCTGCGTGAAATGTAACTAAAAACAGAATGTAACTATTTTCTAATCCCTTAAACGTCAGATTTTATTTAACATCGCAACATATCAAATGTTGAAGCTAAGATTTTTCATCATCATGCATGAGACCAAACATCTCTCTGTGAGCCAGGCGAACGAAGGCCTCAGCGACCCTCCGGAGGGAGGGTAGGGAGTTGATGTGCAGGTGAATTTAGCTCTGAACTCCACACTGCCCAGTTTTTAATTGGAAAAGGTCCCCAGGTGGGAATCAAAACGTCTTCAGCTTCAGAGTACAAGTCTAATTGTTTTATTTTTATTTTACAAGATAAGAATATATACCATTTTTACCAAAATTAAATAATAATCAAAATATAACGTTTTCCTGTGTTTTTCAGGCTCTGCAGCACGGATTCTTTGACTTTGAGTCATTTGATGTGGAAGAGTACGAACACTATGAGGTAAAAACTGGCACCAGTCTGGTTAACACACAGTTACCACCGAGGTTAAAGACGCCCCCGCTAGAAAGATTAAAAAGACTCATCGGTGAGTGTAAAGACTCATCGGTGAGAGTAAAGACTCATCGGTGAGTGTGAAGACTCATCGGTGAGCGTAAAGACTCATCGGTGAGCGTAAAGACTCATCGGTGAGCGTAAAGACTCATCGGTGAGCGTAAAGACTCATCGTTGAGCGTAAAGACTCATCGGTGAGCGTAAAGACTCATCGGTGAGCGTAAAGACTCATCGGTGAGCGTAAAGACTCATCGGTGAGCGTAAAGACTCATCGGTGAGCGTAAAGACTCATCGGTGAGCGTAAAGACTCATCGGTGAGCGTAAAGACTCATC